TCGGGGGGTGCGATGTATGCCATCATGGCATACTCATGCTTGTCGTAGGTGATGTGCTGTAGCTGCACAAGCTTGAGCGCGTCCTTTTCATTCACCGCAGACACTGTGCAAGTGTTAGGACAGGGTGAATCCGGAGTGTCAGCGTAGATGGCTCGGTAAGCGCAGCGGCCTGCATGAGAGCGGTGAGGAGGTAGCGTGGCTGGAGCGTCGTAAGGTCAAGACCTCCCTGGGAGCGGAACACCACTTTAAATCCGTCGAGTGGAAGGGGCGGTAGTTGCTTGATCTTTTGGGCGGTTGTATGGAGAATGCGCAGCTGCGTCGAAGAGCTCTGTAGCCCGGGAGTTGTGGCAGTCTGCGGAGTCTCGCGCGACTGGCTCGGCGTCTCTCGCACAGAAGGATCGGCATTCGTACCGTGGGTCGCGTTTCATGTTTCCCGGAGGTTTGCCTGGGCTCTGAGGACTTGGGTCCAGTCCCGAGGGTCATACTGGCTTGGGTCCATGTCCGTGTCTTGTACTCGAACCTCCATGCTGGCCTAAGGTGAGGAGGCTGCGGCGCGACGCGTCGCAAGGCCTAGCACGGCGGTGGCGCGACAGGGCCTGGTTTTTGGGCCTGGTGGCCCTCCTGGGGCTCGCCGAAACCTCAAGAGGGGTTAATGGAGAGCGCTCACCTGTATGAAGGCGTTCGTGTTGTTGAGAGCGCTCGAGATACCAGCGATTGGCCATTTTCGCTGTCGCGGTACGGAGCCGAAGCGAAGTGCAGCTGCACTTCAAGACCCCTAGCGGCCAATCCGTGGTAATGGAGCTTACAATGCCACGTTGGTTGTTCGACGCGAGGAACGCCTTTGCATTTTCTCCCTTGGTGAGCTTTTCGACAATGTCACCAGCACCATGTGCACAGTACATGACTGCGGAAACTTTAAGCTTCCTCTTAACAAGTTGTCAATCATTGTGTTACCTTCCACATCTCTGTTCCTGCTCTCCAGGATGAGCACGCTGCTGCAAAATGCGCATGACAGCTTCTTCAGAGCTGAATGAGCACAATATCCCGCGATATAAGCAACGACCTTCATGTCATGCTTTGGGTATGTTGCGATACTTCTGTGTCACTTTCGCTGCTGATGTCTGGCTGCGGAAGCATCAGCAGCTTTTGCAGACGAATTTTCTTTTCGGACTCCAGAAGCTGCCTCACGGAAACATGATATTGTGCACCAGCAAGCTGACGGTAGCGACCGAAGCGATTTTCAAGAGTGTCAGTTTGAAATTTTCCCAGCAAGACATACTTGAACTTCAGTTCTTCTAAACAGTACCGCGACAGCTCAACAAGGGAGTAGCAAGTAAGTCTCAACCCAGAATATGTTTCCCTTGTCAAGCAGCCACGGCTCATGTTGACGCTGCTCCAAGCATCCAGCGAGTCTACCATACCACTCACTGGATTTTTAAGGGTGTCGTTCAGTCGGCGACCTTTCTAAGGGGTCTACACGTTGACGATTTTCCACCACGTCGATATGATGTTTATGAAGAGAGCTGTTGAACTGGCACATGTGGTTTCAAGGGCATCGCCACGCGTCTCACGTGCGTTTGATACAAACGGATTAATGACATTTAACATCAACTTTACATTTTGTCTCTCCATAGGTGTTGGATTGATTGCCTTGGAATTTAGCTTGTAGCCAAGCTTGAGAAGCGATGTCTGCTCCAGTGCATACAGCTGCCATACTGCTTCAAATGATGCTGCCTTCATTCTGGGTGGCCCGTTGGGCAACATTCCTGACAGGCTCACTTCAGAAAGTAAAAGCATATTCCTTCGTTTTTTTTATTCATTTAGTAGTTTCTGATGCGTTTCAGTATGTGCACAGGGTCTACGACATAAAACAGAGGCCGATTGTTGTCGGCTAGATGAGGATATACAATGTTTACTTTCTGTTTCTCTGAGAAAAACGACATCATTTTCCGGTTGAGGGAATCGTTGTCGGTAATTACAGCAATGACCCTGAGGCCCATAGATTCCACTTCTAAAATTACTTTCTTGCAAACTCATGTAGATTCTCGGCGGTCATTTTAGCAACAGGAAGAATGTGAAGCACATCTTTGTTTGATGACAAGAGCGACTGAATCATGAAAACATGAGCGGTTGTGGCTGCCTCTTGAGAATTGGCTGCAGATCCAACTATGCCGCCCCCTTTATAATCGAAGTATGGCTTGGTATGAATTTCATCAACCATTAGCGTCACCGTCTTTTCGTGCGGCTGCATGCACTTCACTCTTTCTCAAATGTAGGAGAGGAAGTTCGCTTCGTTTTGCTCCTTCAGTGGATCGCCTCCATACTTGGAACAAACGCGGCACAGGGTTGAAGGATGGCGTAAAGTCAACGTCGACGCTGATCTGGCAAAGTTATAGGCGTGCGGAGATATGGAGTGCAGGGCGCTAGAAAACACTAATGTTTCAGCACTGTAACGACGAATGGGGGCAGCGAGTGCGAGAGCTATTTGCTCATTTAGCAAACGAAACAAAGCACTGTGTTCTTCGGTCGTGTCACTGTCTTGGGACAGTTCATTCAATAAGGAGCCGATATGCTGCAACACTGACGCTGTTTTCAACAGACTTGCAACTTCAGACGTGTCAGTCATGTGGTTTTCCAGCTGCTGGAGCAGTGAGGTCAACGTCCGGATGTCGCGCACTGCGTCTGGAACTGCGCCTCCGCAAGGTAATGAAACCAGCTTGATCATACCTGCTGAGACTGCAAGTGAGAGATCAGCAAGCACAGTGACGTAAAACCTCACGCGCGGTGAAGGATTATCTTCGATGCGGAGAAACATCACACAACGATCGTTGGCCTTGATGGTCCAGAAATCATTACTGCATACAGCAGAAAGCTTGCCTCTTAAGTGTTCGAAAGAGGACACAGCATTTCTCTCCTCTTCGCTTTTTTTTTGCGCATATAGAGTCCTTAATCGCTTTGCTTAAGACCTCGTCTTCCATTCGAGCTCGTTTCGAGACAGGAGATTCTCGACGATTGCGATTCGTGCTCGGGTAGAACGGACAGTTCGGAAACACTGATGGTATAGCACCTGACACTAGGCGCACCCTCTCGCTGTCGACTGTCCATGTCCATCCCGACGCTGCGTCGAAATGTGACAGCTTTGTGATGAAGTCAGCCTCGAGGAAGTGGAGTTCACAGACCTGCGCCAAGCATAACAGTGACTTCATTACTTTCATACGAAACGGGCTAATGGGAACATTGACACGAGCCTGAGTATTTCTGTTCTATTTTACCGCACTGCCCTACCTGAAGCGCGACAAAACTACCATCACCACTCACGATACTCGCTCCGTTCAACAGAGCCAGAACGCCAGTAATGCGATAGAGCCGGTAAGACAACAAACTTCAGCAGTTTCTCACCTTGGAGTGTATGCTTGGTGGGAAATCCTTTCGCGGAATGGCTTTTATCCAAGACTTCTTCCGAGTTTCATCCTTGTGGAATGCAAAAACACGCACTTTGGGACCACTGTCATAATTGCCGTGGCACCCGGGAACACAACAACGTCCCATGTCGCACTGATCGATGTGTAATCACATACTCACAAATACCACACCAATAAAATAGGACACGTGGGAACGGACGAAGACTCAGAGCAGTGCGAGGCAGCACCAAGCCTAACGCAGTCTAACCAGCGAAGCAGGTAGCGATGAAAGGCAAACCTGTCGTGGCATGTTTACCGTTCGGGGTAAAAAAGTGCGCGGGGTGACCAACGCCACCACCTGAGCGACGCGTCCTCGGCCACTGGACAGTCGGTGATATGCCCAGGGAGGGGTTGAGGCTGCCACCCAGGATCCGGTGAAGGACGACTCTTGCGACGCGTCTCGCGAACAAGTAGAAGATGCGTTTAATTTACATATTTGCAAGAGAAGTACATTGCAACGAGAGCGTACAGACGCGCCTTTCCATCACAAGGGCCCAGAGCACACTCGAGACGAGCGGGCCAGCGAAGTCCAGAGAGAGAGCAGATCGCACTCCCGACACGCTCCTTTTATAGCCGTCCGTGCACGCGCTAGACGCCGACTGTGTGTCCCAGTGCCGCTGACGTGCATTTCCTGCGGCGCACACAGACGCCTCCCGCGTTGCTGCAGGACGCGGACAGCGTTTGACCGTTACGCCGATGAGCGTCCCTCGCAAGCCACCTCCTTGCTGTGCCGGTCATAACATCGGACAACTAGCGTGACGTATGCCGTCTGGAGAGAGGGGTATGAACGGGCCTTGTGAATAGTCTAGGTGGTGTTGCATAAAGCACCTTGGTGTTAAAGAAAAGTGGTTTCTAGCTGACCTTAGAATGAATGGTAATTTCCAGGCTGCGTGCTCTCAGCGGTCTCGACCACCGATAGGCGGTGTTGTCTGACCATGCTGAAAAAGTGTTGCAGGCACCCCTTACGTCTTGCCTTGCCGTCGTTTTACTTTTCTCGTCATGCTTCCATACCAACTCGCCCAGGTGGCCGGCATCGCGGCAGACCGCATCGGTCGACGGCCCGTGCTGTGCTTGTGGCTAGTGCTGCTCTTCTTCGCCGGCACCTTGCTCGTGTTCGCCCTCACCGTGCCCGTGTTCGCCGCGCTCCGGTTCCTACTTTCGGCCGGTGCCGCCGGTGTAGTCGTGGCGTCGCACGTGCTTCTGTTCGAGGTGACTGGCACGCGCTATCGCACCTCTTACTGCGCCGTCGCCATTGCCAGTGGCATTTTGGCTGCAGACGTCTACAGCGAGCTCATCTACGTCTGCATCCCAAACTGGCACCTGGCACAGGTATAGCTCGGCTCACTACCTCTCACATGGCTGAATCGCATTCTCTCAAAATGAATTGGATACTCACACTCCTTCCTGCGTGCTCGCGGAGGTACACACACATTCTCCCCGATTTGTTCAGTACGCATTGCTCACAGTGTGGCATCCTTGGCCTCCCTCTTTCATATACTATGGAGCTGCAGCAAGAATGATCTCCTGACCACTCCCTCATCCGAGGAGCGAGAAAGTGTACTCCACGATACGAACCTGCAAAAGCAGCTCCACGCCATACCGCGATGAGGAGGTGGTGGCAAGGCACGGGCTGAATACCATTCCTCTGTGAAATATTTCACTTAAACAAAGTTGCTTCCCACTCTTCTCGCTCAGTCCTGACATATAGGTAGGAAAGGACTAACGGCAGCAGGCGACGCTGGCTGCCGCTGCTGCGTCTGTACCTTATAATGTGGGCGGGGGTGGAGGGGGGCACCGTAGTGCAGTGGTGCGTCGGGCGCGTTATTCGAAGGTCACAGCTTCGGATCCTGCTTGTGGCAAGTTATATTTTCGTCCATTTTTCTTTCTTCTTCACATTTAGATTACATTTACTGATAATAACATCCCCTGTACTTTCCTGGACATCATATTCTGTTACTTCACATTAATATTGTGTTTCTTTAAAGTGGTACGTTTAGCTCTCTATCACGTTCCACGACTCTCCGACGAGAGGATACCTTTCTCATAGGAGAGCTCAGCGTCATTTAGCGCGTCTCTTTAAAAGAGCGTCTCATACGTGGCTAGGCAGGGCTCACATAAAAAGATCAAGTACTGTTTTTTATAACAGTGTAGCTTGATTGAATTAACTAATCATCGTAACCTGACTAGACGCCCACTGCAAGGTGGTACATGGGCCTCTTGTGAGCCCCGGTCCAGTTCTCGGAGCTGCCACGTTATACCCGTAAACGATGGTTACCAACCGTCCCAAATTTCGCGGGACTGTGCCTTCTTTTCACAGAACGTCACGAGACCCATAGCGTCCCTGTCAGGATACCAATATGCCCTGGGTGTGTTTCACATCATCCAGTTATAAAAATTTTGTGATCCTATGCGCGCGCTAAACAACGTACGTTACGCAAACGAAAACAAAGTTTGCACATATCGTATGCACGGAGCAATGTTAAGGTGGCTGCGAAGGGCTTTAGCCACTTTAGCTCAACTCCCTGTGAAGTACGACAGCTTTTACGAGTACATTCTTTAGCAAGAGGAATTGTAACGAACAGATTGATTAATATGTGGGATTTAACGTCCCAAAACCACTATATGATTGTGAGAGACGCCGTAGTGGAGGGCTCCGGAAATTTAGACCACCTGGCGTTCTTTTAACGTGCACCCAAATCTGAGCACACGGGCCTTGTAACGAACAGAACGTAGGCAGCTCAGGTACTACATAATTAAAGGGGCGGCAACAATAAGGAATCGGAGACTGTCTGGAAGATACCAAAATAAAGAGAAAAATTGATTTCGCTAGGTTTCTGGGAAAGTGCACTCCACCCCCACCCACCGCTCGACTAATAACCCTCAATAACCAGCGGTTATCTCGCCAACACACTGCACGCCCACTTCTATTGCTTGATATTGTTTGAACTTGACTTACAATTGACTAATCTATCGCCAATTCATTGTTGACGAATGCGAATGATTCGGTAACTCATTGGATAACTGATTGCTCAAGAAGTATCTGTAGATTAGTTTTTGCAGAGTACCGTTAAGATGCCAACAAGTCAACACTGTTGGAAATCGATAGTTGGTATTGGACCCATCTGGTTAGGAACAGACATGAAGACATTTATGTCACGTTTCTTCGGAATACGTATGTTCATATCAAATCTATCACAAACCAGACAACGGCGCACACACCCAATCGAAATTACGGAAACCTTCCATACGTCTGCACGCGTTGCTTACGTCGCATTTTATGACATGCATAACCGGACTGCTCACGCAATGATATCCACTTGTGAACCCGGCTCTTGTACTCTGACCGAAACATCTTGCTTTTATTTGCTTTTATCGTGGTCTGAGTCTTGATTCGTCTTCATTTCAACACTGTTATGGAGGCCTGAAGCTGCTCGCATGTTTCGCAGGTTGCCTTCATGATTCCCTCGTGCGGCATGATCGTCGCGGTGTACCTGATAGAGGAGTCTCCCTGCTGGCTCGTGGCCGTCTCCGAGATGCGCTACGCCGAGAGCGTTCTCACGTGGGCGGCCGGCGTCAACAACATTGAGCCGAGCATGTTCAGACGCCGCCTCTCTCGCCTCAGGATCGAGCTGCACCAGCAGAACGAACAGCTGGCCATGCAGCAAGAACCGGAAGGCGCCATCGTCTCGGAGCACGGTGCGAACGCGTTGGCTCAATCCTGCACGGGTCATTAATTGCGCATACCCAATACAAGGGGAGGAATACTGTTGGTTTTCCGGAAAGTATGCCTTGGTAACGTGCTGAAAGCCGCATGGTGGCATTATGAATGATATAAAGTTGAGGCTGAATAGGGCGTTCAAATTATTTCGCTAAATCGTGAAGTTGGTGGCGTACAAGAAGGTAATCTTGTCCATCGACATCTATAATTTTAATGCAGCTGTTCTATCGCGCGTCAGACTCGACGCGAGAGAGACAAAGGTCCCGACGAAAAAAAAAATGAGCCGCAGCCCAGGCGGAAACTCACGGAACTCTTTATTACAGTGCAGATATTCAATGGAAGTACGCCCCCCGGGGACAAGAGGAACCCAGTATACCACAGTAGCCTCAGCCGAAAGATACATCACGACATTTTATTTCCCATTAATACACACCTGAACGTGTGTAAAGTAAGCGAGGGCAGCCCGAACAGAAACTCTTTCCATGGGTGGGCAATACAGGCACGTTGGATGGTCACGTGAAACTATGTTGCCGATTTTTAGGACAGTGACAATGACTGAAGTTCTTATGTGATCAAGCAGAGCAACAAAGTTCCAAGGAGACGATCACTGTCGTCTGTCGCATAAACAATCCAATAGCGAAAGCAGCCACCATATTTTTGTGGAAGTGATATAGGCGAAAACAGACCACCACTGACTGCCCTCAGCTCCATTTGACACGTAAAAGTGCTTCCGGCTGCCGCATGGAACCTGGTCAAAATAAAACAATAGTATAGTGGCTAGAAACTAACCACCATAACAATAGGGCCGTAACTAGCGACACTAAATATATTAACGACGTTGCATTACAGCGCATGCCCCTCAAAAGATGGATGAATGGTACAACAGTTTCACATCCATCTATCAATCTGTTCTGTGAGAGAAAAGTGGAAAAAAATCATAGTATTTTTGCTCATTTATTTTCAAAGAAACTTCGTAAAATCGTGTTCAGTGGCCGCGAAAGCTTCGTTAATTCGAGCTGATGGCAACAATGAACTACTATCGATACTTGACAGAGAATGGCTAGCTCTTCGTTATCTTGCGAAATATGAAAATCGTGCTTCATCAGATTGAGTTTCAATTGTGTTGCTATATTCGAAAAAAAAAGTAAGAACAAGATGATTGGTTGATCTTTCTGTGAAGTGTTTGCAGCTATGATGGGGTGACTGTCGTCCCCTTTAAACCATCCTTAGCGCACCTTATGCCACGTATGTACATAACAGTCTAATTAATACTCGCAGAAGTCCGCGTCTCCGACTTGCTGTCCAAACAGCACCTGCGTCGGCGGTCTGCCGTCATATTCGGCTGCTGGTTCCTGGTGTTTGGCGCGTTTGCACACTTCACCACAACCAACGTGTTGCGCAACAGCGAACGGGCCCGCATCGCCCTCGTCTTGCTTCGACTGCCTTGCGTCGTGGCGGACGTCTACGCCATCACATGCGCCGGTCGACGCCTGTCCCTCGGCTTTAGCATGCTGGCACTCTCCGTCGTGGCCACTGCCTTGTCAGTGGCGGAGCTGTTCGGCGCCTCGGCGAAGCTCTCCACCGCTCTCGTCATCTCGGGGCTTCTCGCCTTCGACTTGTCCGCCGTCACGCTGTTCGCCTTCTCCGCCGAGCTGTATCCGACCGTGCTGCGCGGCACTGCGTTGGGTTGCTGCTACATGAGCGGCCGGCTAGGCGCCTTCGTGGCGCCGTTCGTAAACTTGATCCCGTCTCCACAGCTAAGGAGCGCTGCGTACGCCGTCACGGCCACCATGTTGCTGGTGCTGAGCGTGATGGCGTTCGCGCTACCGGAGACGAGGCAGCTGCCACCTTCCAACACAATGCAGGGCATGCTGGCCATGGAGGACAAATGGCTGCTCGGCTCTCCGCTGCGAGTGGCCCGAGGCGGCGGCAAGCGTCGGCGTCCTAGAACGACGTCTGTGGATGGCGTGAAGAGGCAGGGGCGTGGTTCCGCCTTGAGGCAACTGCAATAAGCCAGCTAGTTTTATATCCGATGCTACAGGGCCCCGATACTATGATTTGTGTTTGCTGAACTGTATACGCTGCCTTCAGTTAAACTAACAGCCTTAAGACATTACTTACTAACTTTGACAACACGCTATGGCATCTGCATTGTGCTTTCGTTCAACTCTATAGGCCACCTTGATTTAAATTTACAGCTGCAAGATACTCGCAACTTTGATGGTATCGCGAGTGACATTCTCTTAGTTTGCGAATTGCTTAACGCCAACTGCAGGACGTGGAAGAGAAGCAAGTGTCTCGCTGTACGCGAACTACTCGATTAAGTTAATTGTAGATTAGGGTGGTTTTGAGACAATTGACTTTTACGCGAGTTGTGTTCGTCGTCACGCATCCTCAGTCACAGTCGATAGGCTGACAGACCACGTGTTTAAGGACTAGTTTTAAGAACTGACGAACACGTTAACGCTGTTGTGCTAGTTGACAGCCATGCACAATTAAGGAATCGATCGTATTGCTTTGCCTTCAAAGACCCTAGCCAAGAACCTGCTGGCTCAGATTCAGCCTTGGAGATGTCTCCAAGCCACACGACTACAAAGATAGAGGAACTGTTAGTTCAGTACATTACACTAATGCAAGAGCAAGATATGATAATATGCTGTATTATTGGCAATTATGAATAGTGCGAAATAAAGTCAACCGACATGCATGCAACGATATCAACCCTTACGTTTTCTCGCAAGTACGTGTTTAAGTCGCATAACCCACAGTTGCCCAACCATATGTCCAGACGACCAGTTACATAGCTGACCTGCAGCCAAACGAAATATGTAGCTCAAAGGGGTATAGAGATATGAAAGAGTGTGCAGGAGTAGGAATGAGCTGAGTGCTGTACTCGGAAACTGTAGTGTAAATAATCAAAGTGGTGGGTTTGCACTCTGGTGTGTCTACGCACTCCTTTCGTAGAGTTTGAGCCAAGATGAATCAAAGCTTCAAAAAGCTATTGAGGATAAACACCGCCTGCATGTGCAACCGATTCTTCACTGATTTCCCTAAGTGGATGTATGCTGTGAATCATGATCGTCCGAGAAACATTTCACGCTAGTCTGTGTGTGAAAGAAACGATAATGCAGGGGCATTAACGAATAGGACATCCAGTGAGCTACCTCTACAAAAGAGAGGACTAACGCAGATTCTTTTAAAATAGGTATATTTACATCTCTCGGGAAGGGGCCGCCATGAATCTGATATTGTGTGTTGGTTTAAAGAAAAAAACTGCAATATTTCGAAAGAATGCCTCGATCGCAACTGCAAAAAGGGTAAATGTTACTGCACGATTGAATATAGACATCACTCAGACAATAATAGAAATCATCGCGAACCTATTGGCGGCTTTATCAAAAATCCCACTGTGTGTGATAAAAAATGAATGAAACGAGAAAAGTTTTGAGGTATACTTAGCAATTTTGTTTTAATCTCGAATGAAACACCTACTTCCACTTGCTGCTGACCTGCAGGTAAACATTCTGATGTTGTCCTGTTGAAGCCTGGTTGAACTTAACGCTGATATGACGACAAGCTTTGTGGCGGTATTTCCCGTTATTTAACTTTCTGTCAAGAGCCGTGTGGAAAGGATTGTAGACTGAAATCACATGTATTAGTGTGTGTTCGTATACTGTGATAACCACCATCATTTTATTACGTTGCAATGAACTCGGGGCGTGCCAAATTTATACAGCACTAAAGGTAAGAGTACAGTGCTATAATATCAAGAGCGATAAACTAGTGGAAATAATTGCGAAATTTCGAGCGAGTCACTGTCAGAAAGAAATTCGTATGTCGCAGCACACTTTCCTACGGCCGTCGCTCGGAGAACGCCTCGAAGGATAGAATGTTGTCCGTATTCAGAGTAATTTGCTAGTCGTGAGTGAAATATCTGAATTATTTTTTCTGTAGCTAGTGTAACAATGGCGAGTAGTTAAGAAATACTGGAAGTGTGCACTAGGTTACACAAAGCCTGGCATATGGAAACAGGTTGATTCGAGTTCGTCGTGGTGCAGCATGGGAATCGTGACACCGACGGTGATTAGACGACGACGACGACGACGACGACAATCATGATGATGTCGGTGGCGTAGAAGTGTGTCACGCACACCCATTCTGGTAGACTCGCCAAGAAACAATTTATAAGGAGAGAGAGAGAGAGAGAATTTATTTACAGAAAGGTAGAGAGGTCGGCCTGAGCTATAGTTTGCTCTGGCCTGCTGCTCTACACTGGGAAGGGTGACTGGGAAGTGAAAGAGTGATGAATGACGATGGTAAGGTAGAGAGATGATATGTTCTTATTAGGCTTGGTAACTCTACAGACATGTATCCAGTCCAGTGGCTTCTAAGAAAGCGATGACTGCTCGTATAACCACACGTGTTCTGCTGGCGTCAGGCCAAGGACCTAACACAACCTCATCGGTTAATGGTCGACTAATATTGTCACAATGCAGAAACAGCAGCAGTTAAATACAGGGAAACTCACTTTATTTGTACTAGAACACTGGCAAACTGATCGGAAGAGAACCTCTTCTTCTTTCTCCCGCTGCGCGTGTACTTCGTTGTTTTCTTGGTGCTGCATATTCAATGCGGCATTTGTATATGTATGATGTAAATCAGTCCGAAAAATAGGGCTTCATTCGCACAACGCGCACGATTTCTGTTTTTTGCTGGCGAGTTGTCGAGGGGCTGTCAGGAACGACCACGTAATTAACGTCGCTCAGGCGTTGTAAAACTGTGTAGGGGCCAAAATACTTCTTTAGCAATTTTTCAGACAGTCCCCGGCGGCGGGTAGGACTCCATACCCAGACTTTGTCGCCGGGCCGATAGACGACATGTCGGTGTCGAAGATTATAACGTTGGGCGTCATAATTTTGCTGCTGGGTGATTCGGACGCGTGCAAGCTGCCTCGCTTCTTCTGCTCGTTGAGTAAAAGATGCAGCGTCCAAATTGATGTCATTGCAGTCATGCAGTAACATGGCGTCAAGCATCGTCGTCAATTCACGGCCATGAAGGAGACTGAACGGCGTTTTCATGTAGTTTCTTGCTGCGCTGTATTATAGGCGAACGTGATGTACGGTAGAATGTCGTCCCAGTTCTTGTGATCCACGTCAACGTACATACTCAACATGTCGGCAATAGTCTTGTTGAGGCATTCTGTTAAGCCGTTGGTTTGTGGATGATAGGAAGTTGTTTTCCGATGGGCTGTTCCACTGAGCTCAAGCACTGTCCTTAAGGAGCGCGGCCGTGAAAGCGGCACCTCGATCCGTTATTATGATTGTAGGAGCACCGTGCCTCAGGACGATATTTTCTACGAAGAATCGTGCGGTTTCAATGGCGGTGCAACTTGACAAGGCCTTTGTTTCCGCGTAGCGCGTAAGATAATCAGTGGCGACTATTACCCACTTGTTGCCAGCATGGGGAGTCGGATATGGTTCAAGGAGATCCATTCCAGTTCGGGCAAAAGGTACCGTGGGCACTTGAATTGGTTGTAATAGTCCAGCTGGTTTTAACGGTGGCAATTTCCGTCGTTGGCGATCGAGGCACGTGCGCACGTAATGCTTCACAATAGCTGGAAGTCTTGGCCAGTAGTATCTCTGTTGGATTCTGGCCAATGTGCGTGTGTATCCGAGATGACCAGACGTTGGCTCATCGTCGGCAAGCACAGAGGATTTCCTCACGGAGTGACGTTGGAACGACAAGTAGGTGGGTGCTTCTTCTTGGAGAAAAGTTCTTCTTATAGAGAACACCACTACGTAAGCAGAATGGCGGCAGGCTCCTTGCAAATCTTCTAGGGACGGTTGTTGTCCGGCCATTCAAAAATTCAATAAGGGGAAGCAACTCGCTTTCTTCTTTCTGCTTGCACGAAATCGTAGTAGTGTCGACGACTCCTACAAACGCCATGCTGTCATCTTCTGTGTCATCGTCACGCTTTATCGGTGACCTTGATAAGCGATCGGCGTCGGCGTGCTGCCATCCGGACTTATACACGACTGTCATATCAAACTCTTGAAGGCGTAAGCTCCACCGTGCGAGCCGACCAGACGGGTTTTTCAAGTTGGTCAGCCAGCAGAGGGAATGATGGTCACTTACTACGTGGAAGGAACGACCATAGAGGTACGGACGAAACTTCATAACCGCCAATACGAACAGCAAGACACTCTTTTTCCGTTGTGGAGTAGTTGGACTCGGCGCGGGAAAGCGTCCTACTAGCATATGCGATCACACGCTCGGCTAAGTCTTGCCACTGGACGAGTACAGCGCCTAAACCCACGTTGCTGGCATCTGTGTGGACCATGGTAGGAGCATCCTCATCAAAGTGAGCAAGCACAGGCGGAGTCTGCAGGCGTTGTCGGAGATCGTCAAATGCCACCTGTTGATCGTCGCCCCATGAGAACGAAACGTCTTCTCTTGTGAGTCGTGTTAACGGCGAGGCTATGTGGGAGAAATTGGCAATAAACCTTCGGTAGTATCCGAATAGACCAAGGAAACACCTGACTGCTTTCTTGTCTTTTGGCACCGGAAATTTTCTGGCGGCCGTAATCTTATCGGAATCAGGTCGAACACCTTCATGGCTCACCACATGGTCTAAACATTGGAGCTCCTTGAAACCGAAATGACACTTCTCCGGTTTCAGTGTCAGACCAGCAGACCTTATTGCCCTGAATACCGATAGCAGCCTGCTCAGGTGTTCCTCAAATGTTTTTGAAAAAACAATGACGTCGTCCAGATAGACCAGACATGTCGGCCACTTCAGGCCTGACAGAACGGTATCCATCAGTCTCTGAAATGTTGCGGGGGCTGAGCACAATCCGAATGGCAAGACTTTAAATTCATAAAGCCCGTCAGGCGTTACAAAAGCCGTTTTTTCTCTATCTCGCTCGTCGACCTCAATTTGCCAATACCCACTTTTGAGGTCCATTGACGAAAAGTAGCTTGCATACCTCAGCCTTTCGAGTGAATCATCGAT